GAGAACAGAAATAACAGATACATCATTACTCCGGTCATCAACATTAACATTGCAATACCTACAAATTTTCGATTTATTCAATGAGAATATACTTATACAATAAGAATAATTTGCCCCGATCCCGAACAAAGAAAAATCCTCTGTGTGGCCATGGCATGAACCATAATGCATGGCCATACAGGGGTATTTTTTCCTGTTGGGGACCGGGGAAAAATGCAATGAATTATTGAAAATCTATCGCAATTTCTTTGTTTTTTGTTTTTTCGTGGGGGCGGGCGCGTACCCTAGCCCCCGCTGCGATGTGCTATGTTAGTGCCCTTTTGTGAGGCATTCCCAATAAACAAAATCACGTGAAAATCACGTCAATATCAAGGTATCGACTTGAGGAGAGTTACGTTCTTCAAACACCGGACATTTACGTAAATGTGTTAATACGTTTATTGCATTAGGTAACTTAAAACACACGTACACTAAATCACGCAATTGTCACTGCGATATCACCATTATAATAACGTGATTATCACTACCTTGGAGACCATGGTTTGTAAACTTAATACTCCCGTGTTTGTTTTGTTATGAAATTACATCTTCATACACGAAATTATCGCGTCACAGAAACACGTGAAGCGTTAGTGATAGTTTTAGTCAAAATATCTGCGTGAAATTCACGTGAATATTACGAGGCTGATTTGAGATGAATCATGTTCTTCATTCACGTCAAATTTACGTCGAAGAGGAAATATGTTACTGTAACCCGCGTTCAACCCAATAATTACGCAAATGTTACACAATAAATGAACCAAAATAATGACGTTCTCATCCCGTTTCTGAACATCGTGTCTTGGATCTTCCATAATTACGTCCAGGCGTTCAGGAAGCAGTTTGGGATTTGAGGGGGTTGGGTGGGGGGGGGGGTGCAAACATCCCAGAAGAGAAAGCTAGTTGCAACTGGTCCAGTTGATGAACCATTTGATGCCAACTGGTAACCCTGGAAATTGAAATGGGCTAAATGATCCAGTTGATCCAGGCCAGTTATAATTCAACTGGTCTAGCTGAGCCATGAGAACCATTTGGTAAAACTTCCAACCAGTTGAACAGCAACAAACTTCAATACTGGTACGTCTGTATTTCCAATGTAAGGGCATTGGTAATAAGTAGACTTACATAATTGAATTAATCGAACAAATTTCGTATACTTGTACTTTATTGAAATTATTTTAGTTCACAGTTAATGTTTCCCTTATTCATGTTTAACTAAATGTAATTTATACGAAGTAGCGAAATGTCCTAATAACTGGTAATTTATATTTGTAGTATTTTCGAAATGAATTGCATATAACTAAATCATCAGTAATTAAGAAATATGCTGTAAATTCAGATAAATTGTTTAAAAAACATAGATCTGCACGCACCCCATATTCAATATGCAAATGAATTGGTGTCAGCTGGGTCAACTCGAAATATGCCAACGCTCAGTCATCAACTGGTGCAACTGGAAATATGCACACTCCAGTTGTCAACTGGTGCAATGAAAATATGCCAACAGTCAGTTATCAACTGGTGAACACAGAAATATGCCAACAGTCACGGGATTATCACCACGGAACTTAAATGGTAACTGTGAAACCATCAAGACACCCAAGAATAACTCATTTTCACACATGGAAAACACGGAATACCCAGCTTATATTAATAATTCGTTTGAGTCACGCGATCATCACGGCGGAACTGCTGGCAACTTTGACTACGGTTTAGATAGGGGTTTTAAGACACCTAATCATGACTAATTTTTCACACCTAAAAGTCACGTATGCCCAGCTTAGATTAATAATCCGTTTGAGTCACGAGATCATCACCGCGGAACTAATGGCAACTTTGACTTCCATTTAAATAGGTGTTTCAAGACACCTAATAATGACTAATTTTTCACACCTAAAAGTCACGTATGCCCTGCTTAGATTAATATTCCGTTTGAGTCACGAGATCATCACCGCGGAACTGCTGGCAACTTTGACTACCATTTAAATAGGTGTTTTAAGACACCTAATAATTACTAATTTTTCACACCTAAATATCACGGATTCACAGCTTAGATTAGTAATCAGTTTTAACTACGTGATCATCACCAAGAAAGTTATGGTAACTTTGAAACCATTTAAATAGTGTTTTAAGACACCTAATAATGACTAATTTTTCACACCTAAAAGTCACGTATGACCAGCTTAGATCAATAATTCGTTTGAGTCACGAGATCATCACCGCGGAACTTATGGCAACTTTGACTACCATTTAAAAAGGTGTTTTAAAACACTTAATAATTACTAATTTTCACACCTACATATCACGTTTTCACAGCTTGGATTAGTAATCAGCTTGAGCCACGTGATCATAACCAAGAAATTTATGGTAACTTTGAAACCTTTCAAAGAGGTGTGTAAGACACCTCAGAATTACTTGTTGGATATAACCAGAGATTCACGGACAGAACAATAAGACGATTAGCCGGTGTAAGTAACGTGATTATTACCATTAACCTTGGATAACCTGTGAAACCAATCAATAAAGGTGCTTACAAGACCAAATAATTACGTATTTATCGCCATTATCGGTTAACTGACAAAAAACTCGTTGCTTGGTCAAGTGGTTATTTGGTCATAAACACTTGATTTACAGAGGTAAGTGGAATCACGTTACTCCAGTCGCGTGATAAACTGGTGGTTTTTAGGTTAGATGAAAACGTGAACAGGAGTACCTTTTTTGTTTAAATGAAGGCACGTGTCGATAACGTTTAAATCTAGTTCAAAAGGCACTGTACTTTAAAATCACTTAAAATACACTCCCAAAAGAGGTTACTTTTTAGTGTTCTGTTTATTGGGTGTCAGTTATGACTTTAGGACGTAGGTCCCCCAGTGGATTAGCATAGTAGCAAACACATGCTTTAGCAGACACTCAGAACAAACACTAATACATTTTTATTCAATAAAATCTGAGAATGTATACTATCATTTTAATCTATTAGGAATAAATCATTGTCAAAATCATTCCATAAATTGGGGTAAAAATAATTATTCCACGTTTATGACCAACAGTGTATATTCTCAAAAGAATAATAAGCGTATCTCGTTCAATTCCAAGTGAAAAGCAACCCCAATCTTGTTTATTCGGTATTCGATTTCTATTTATGTCAGGAAAGAAGAATGACCGATTGGACACGGTGCAAGGCACGATATGAAAATAACCAGCTGAAATTGACCGGAAAGAAAACAGGGATGACCCGACAGACCTAGATGAACGATCTGTGGGTTTGAAACTGTCCCTTGTGGTCAGTTTATTTTGGCATATCCACCATGATTTCTACAATCATCTGTCAGAGCGTCCGGTTGTTATTTTTCTCTTTCTTTCGGTGAAGGCTCCGGGTCAAAAGGAGTTCATATCTAATCATGATGATGAAGCTTGAATCCAAATGCCAGGCTGGGAAAAAATTGGTTTTGAGTCATCTATTTTGATCTGTTATGAAAGTCTTCGTTAAAGATACCACACGAATATTTTGGAAAACAAATAAAACATTTATTGACCTGAAAGTGAAACAATGAATTGATTTGGCTCTTTACCAAAAGCTTTTTTTATGATATTTTATCCTCATTTTAATTTACAACGCCATTTTCATTGTTAGCTAGTATGGGTCTACTTTTTAAAGACACATATTATACTACTAAGTAATGGTCAACAGGAAACACATGCAAACTTCAAATGCCAATCCTGCCGTCGATTATAACATGTTATGACTGCACATGTGTAGTTCATACTTTGATCTGCTTTCAGTATTATTTAAACCGCTGGCTACTGCATTGTTAAATTTCCCATACACACTTAAAATAGTTGGGCAAAAAAATGCCCAACTTTTAACCAACACTGAGCAACATACGGTCCACACAACTATTGGTTAAAATCTGCCCAACTGATGTTGGGTAATCAGTTTGCTATGTGGTTGGGCAAATCAAATTGCCCATCAGTTGGTGACCCATCATATTTTACCCAACTCTACAATTGCCTAACAGTTGGTTATATTTTCAGTTGGGTAATTTCTTGCCCAACCAATTTTACCCAGTTAGATATTGCCCAACCTTCTATTTGCCCAACTTTTGAGTAAGTTTAATGTTGGTTAATTAAATGCCCAACCAGTTTTTACCCAACTCCCAGTCTGCCCAACTATCAAAACACCCATCTATTGGGTAATAATTGCTCAACAATTTCTCTGCAACATCCATTTGCCCAACTCTCAAAACACCCATCTATTGAGTAATAATTGCTCAACAATTTCTCCACAATATCCATTTGCCCAACTATCAAAACACCCATCTATTGGGTAATAATTGCTCAACTATTTCTCCACAATATCCATTTGCCCAACTATCAAAACACCCATCTATTGGGTAATAATTGCTCAACTATTTCTCCACAATATCCATTTGCCCAACTCTCAAAACACCCATCTATTGGGTAATAATTGCTCAACAATTTCTTCGCAATATCCAGTTGCCCAACTCTCAAAACACCCATCTATTGGGTAATAATTGCTCAACAATTTCTCCGCAATATCCATTTGCCCAACTCTCAAAACACCCATCTATTGGGTAATAATTGCTCAACAATTTCTCCGCAATATCCATTTGCCCAACTCTCAAAACACCCATCTATTGGGTAATAATTGCTCAACTATTTCTCCACAATATCCATTTGCCCAACTCTCAAAACACCCATCTATTGGGTAATAATTGCTCAACTATTTCTCCACAATATCCATTTGCCCAACTCTCAAAACACCCATCTATTGGGTAATAATTGCTCAACTATTTCTCCACAATATCCATTTGCCCAACTATCAAAACACCCATCTATTGGGTAATAATTGCTCAACTATTTCTCCACAATATCCATTTGCCCAACTATCAAAACAACCATCTATTGGGTAATAATTGCTCAACTATTTCTCCACAATATCCATTTGCCCAACTTTTTAATTCGTCTGTTGGATAATCATTGCTCAACATTTTTTCCATAACATCTATTTGCTCAACTCTTTTTCTCATCTAAAGGGTAATAATTGCTTAACTGAAACACAAATAACATACACAGTAAACACATGTTGTTGTTTTCATCAGAAACGTAAAAACAAAACTTGTTCACATCAACTACAACATTACAATTTTTGGTGAAAAAAATACAACCTTTTAAAAAAAGTAAATGCAAATATAGCCCCTGTTTGGTGCAGCATGACAACTTTGATGTACACTGTATGTATCCCATGTACTCCCATGTGTGGCATAGTGTTCATTTATCCTGACACACCAATACTCTGCCTTAGAGTGTTACACATGCACACATTTTTTTGAAGTGAAAAAAAAAGAGGAAATAAATTCAAATCCCTCTAGATTATTTGACATGTGCAGAAGTACCACATGAAAGTTTGGCTATCTGTGATGGTGAACAGGTACTGATCAAATAACAAGGATACACACTGCCTACTATAACTTTTTGATTAGATTAAAGACAACAAAAATCAATTGACCCTACCTGCTATACTCAGTTTGATTGATTTTATTGATATTATCAATAATATCAATACAATTTTGCAAAATGTAGATGAAAATGTTGACTTCTCTACTTCTGCTTTGCGCGATGTAAATTAATGCATGCAGTCCATTCAGCAGAGAGTTCAGCGTAGGGTCAATGGACGATACACATTACATGAAAATTAATGGTATATGTAATTTACAATCATATACCCCACTTGCTGTTTTAAACGTCATAAATATCATAGCTCATGTTTTATGAAGAAATATATCATTTTGATGTACGAGTTATGAAACAGTACTCTTGGGATTAAGACCAAACACGATAAGCATTTGTATACGCCAGTGCAAAAGATTTATAGCCAATAATATGTTTTGTATTTATACTTGGCATATATTCATTTGTTTTCTTAAACTTTCAAGGTGGGGATGTTAAGCAATGATTGGGATAAAACAATTAGGCCTTTATCATTTTTAAAATGTACACAAAGACTTCTGCTGTGTATAAATTCTCTCTTTTTTTATATTATTCAGCGATCCTCACCCCACCCTCAAATCTTCAGTCTTACACAAACATGTCTAAATTATGTAAAATAATGTGCTGTATCCAACTCATAACAGTTTGTCTTTAAGGTTATTTTGTCCAAAATAATACTTTTTTCCAGTTTTTTTTCTCCCAAAATAAACTGGTTCAAGTAGCCAAAATGTGCTAAACGATGATGTGTCAGTTTCATCTGTAGGAAATATATCACCAGTAATCATCCTTGGCGTGAACACATCATGATGGCTTATGGCATGTTCATGAAGGCTCGGACCTCCCGCAGCTTTGGTGTAAGATGCTCCCCATCGGTAAACTGGAACACCACAATCTGGAGAAATTTCCAAACAGAACAGCTTTGCGGCTGATATTCGATATCCATCACATAAAGTGCCTTAAAGCACAAGTCGACTGCTTTAAGCAGTGTTGCGGCAGGAAGTATCCTCCTCTCTACTACGACGTACGCCTGTATTGGTGTGAGAATGTTCCCACGCACAACAACAAATGGCTGTGACCTGACTGCTTCATCAATGTTATCAACATAAGTCTGGATGTCGAGAACCTCCTGTAGTCCAAAGAGAAATCAAGAAGAAATCATTTGTAATTATATGGATTGATATATATATATTTGATGCTTGTCGAATGCTTCTGCTTATGAATCCACAATCACCTACAGGACACCCAAATTTGTTTATGCATGTTCATCCCTGTCCCATCAAAACATTACTGGGTATTCTTACATATCCCTGCGGCAAAGGTCAACTGTACCCAAACTGGTCACGTTCAGAGCATTACATCAACTAAGCTGGAAGGCATATACAGCCTGTTAATATAAGCATGCATTTTTCACATGTCATTTGCAGGTTAAAGGACTTGCTTGCATTCATGAGTGAAATGCGATGTGATGACAAATCTGAGGCCATTTGTAGTTGTACCACAGATAATGACGAACTGACTTATTAAGATTAAAGCGCCTAGTGTTGCCCCTGCAGGGCCTCCTTGGGGACCAGCGTGCCCATTACTAGGAACTTGAAAATGGTTGCTTTTCAAGTTTTACACAAATAAAATGTTATGGCAATGCCTTATCTGGTAAGAACATAGGTATTGCATTTCAACCTCAATTTCATCAGTTGTCCTAGGTTTGAAACTCTTAACAAATTAACTATTGAATTTGTTTGTAATGAAATATGATTACTATGGCAAGATTTTAAACACAAACCAAAATATATGCCTTACATGTCATTACTTTACCACCTCCCCAGCACATATACTTACTGGTTGAACGTCAATGAAGGACGACAATGTTTCTGCAGTGGTGTACGTTCCTCTCTTGGAATCTTTCCTTCCTCGGAACAAGACTGGGAGCATGTAGAATCCAAGATTGCTCTTTTCCTCTAAAAAGAGGGAAACAATGAAAGAGTTAAGTAATTAAGTCCCAATTACATATGAAGAAAAGGTGCAACAGCAAACAGGTCAATTATGGAACATCTTACAAAATGTACAGTTATATACAGCAAATTAAAAATAACGGTCGAATACAACAATTATTTTCTACAAATATGGGTAAAATCACTCAACGTAAATGTCAGTCAGTAATTTGGAGCTCAGCTTTCTGAGTAAAGAAAATCAAAATTGCACAAACTTCAGCATAGCCTTCCCAATGAGCTTTAAACCACCATCCCCACCCCAAAAAGCAAACAAACAAAACAAGCAAGTAAAAGTATGCTAAACCTTTGTCATGGAATCATGTTTTTATCATATGTTGTACATGTATTATATGTTTCAGAGCACTTTTATTTATTTCAGTTCAATTCCTTACAGGGGGGATATTAGACTCAATGTTTGGTCCTGGCCACAAAAATAAACATCATATAGTGTAATTGAAATAAATTCTTTTGACTTTCTCTCAAGTCATTTTCACTAATACTGTCAAATGTGTGTTCTGACACCACATACCAAGACTGAGTTTCCCAGGGTCATGAATGTTTTCGAATTCGGCTCTTGCACTTCTCCAGTTGCCAGTTTTCTCGGTGAAGTCCACTACTTTGTTACAGAATGTGGGCCACTTCTGGTACAGTGCGTTTGCTTTCTCTGGGAACAATTCTGCAAAATCTCCTTCAATCTGTAATTGTTAGGATAGTTATAGAAGCCAGATTAAAGGTAGGATATCTTTCATTTGCATCTTCTCTTTACCATTTTGCAAGGATTTGAATGGTACACACTAACAATTATCGGTTCAATAGGGATGCACGATTTCTGTAGGACCGTGTATCTCAGATTGTTAAACGATCCCTTTAAGGAGACTGCTAAAGTAAACCTGCCCATGCAACCAAAAAACAAAAAAGTTACTTCTCAAAACATGCGACTCTAGTTTAATTTAATGTCCTTTCTTGTCACATGCAGAAGAAAAATCAAGGTCCACATACCATTCCAGCATCGAGAAGTCTGGGATATGTGGTAAGAATGTTCTTCACACAACAGTCACTTCTCTTGATCCAGTCATGTCTTTTTGTTGCTGTTTGTTTCATGTAGTCCTTCACCATGTCCTCTGGCTCCTTGTTGTTACGCAGCCATTCTTCCATTGTCGTGATGTTATCATCGTTCACAGACTCAAGATCAGTATCTCCTGGATATAATGCAACAGAACAATCAACAATTAGCATGTATCAACAAGTTTTTGATGATTGTATTGGAAGGGGGGTTTTAGTTGACATTGCTCATGCCCCACCAGTTTGTTATGGCACAGCATGACTTCATCAGCCGGATCTGAATAACTCATAACTTTAACTATATGAAAAAGTAGCCAGAATACCTTGCTTTTGAGACTCTGCCTCGTCTTCAGCTACTGGTACCCTCAGGGACTTCTCCTTTTTTCTGACATACCTCAGATGCTCCTCCAGGTAGCCTGTTGCTGGCCGTCCCTTGGCCCCCACGCAGTACCAGGCCTCCTGCTCAAATAAATTAAAATTCCTTCATAATTCAACTTCAAAAACAGTAATGCTCAACAACATTTGTTAAACATTAATAATAATCAAATAAAAGCACAATAAAATTCCAGTGTAAACTGTACATTTACATATTTTGTTACATATGTCAGTGTTTGCAATAACAAGGTTTGTCCTCTTAAGTACCTATTTCTAACTGCACACTGTTATATTCCAGCAATGTCATCAGGTCATTGCAAAAACAAAGTGAATGATGGATAATTCTGTGAATATCCATTACTCAATGGCATGCAGACAAAAGTCTAAATATTAAGAGATGTGTCATTACTGGATAATATAACTTATAAACAAGTGGTAAAAATAAACAAAAATATTGCACGATTTAGTGATTGATGCCATATTAGCTTTTCATTATTTGTAAGCTTTTCAGGCCTGTCTACTGTCAAATTTACTATTGCCAGAGATGCTCTTATAATGCTTGTGATAATGTGATACAACATGCAATTGATTGAGCATCTCCAATATAATAAATACAAGAATAACAAAATTGAGGAAGCTTCATAGCAAGTTACACAAAATAATATGATCCAGTATTCCAAAAGTTATTGCATAAACACATAATTTATTTGATTTAGACCTTAAAGTAGCTTATTGCTTCTGGCTCAAACAGAAACTTCTCATAAAATTTCACTTTCTTGTAAATGGGGTCTGTGGGGTAGGGACAGATGGAGGTATGGATGGACAACCTAAGAATTAAGGCACCTCCAAGTAATAAATGCCCGCTGTGGTAAGAATCAATCCATAAATCAGTCCAGAAAAAAGTGGTGATCTGAGCCATACCTGAGGTCACATATATTAAGGAAAGCAATTCATGGACAGGACTTACATAGCCAAGTGGAGATTCTGGATCTTTTAAGAAAGGAAAGCTTGTCACAAGGGCATGGGCCATTGATGCCTTCACAAATGAGCTTGGCTTGGTACCATACTCCCGTATCAGGTACTGAGTCAACATATCCACAACAGTATGCCGGTCCCTTTTGCTGCAGAGATTTGTAGCATTGATGTTCCTTAATGCTGCTCTTCCCATGGTGGTCTCTCTCAATATACAAGCAATGTTCTGCAACAGATAAAGGATTTTTTTTTTAAAGATCAGTAAATTCAGAATAAACAAGTGAAATGTGACAGCATGCAGTCGGTGGGTATATCTCTGGCTGTCCGACCTCCTACAATAAGCCCATCATAAATCACTCACTGGGCATTCCTTCCAAACTTTGTTCTGATAAAAAATTTCAATGAAACCTTGAAACTGACCTTAGACTAGCTTAAAACCCATAACCCCAACCAAACATTTTCCATAACATTCCTTTATTCATTCATACCTAAATGTACCTACCAAATCATATCACTAGCCATTCTGCAGATGTAGAAATAAAATGGTATTTTTAGTAAAAACTTGAATAACCTTTGAACTGACCTTTCACCTTTGAGCCCTGCTGCTTGTCAGAAATACTGACAGACAGATAACTCCAAGACATAATGCCTCCGGCACTCTTATGTGTGGGAGGCATAAAAACTGATGAATGATGGTGACTCGACATGCCCACTCTTCAATTGTATCAGCCCACTATATACATAAACTTACGAAATGCACTTTCTTGACCCGTTTCAGGGGAGGATGTTGATCAGGACTCTTGGATTCTGGGGAGTCGTAAAGTGGCGTATCCAAACTGGGCTGGGAAGGGCTTTGTCTGGGACTCCACTCACTTCCTGTTACACAAGAGAGATCTGAGCAGTCATCTAAGGAGAACACTGATGGGCTTCTTGTCGACGTTGATGCTTGTTCCATGCTTTGTTGATTTGCAGCATGATACTACAATAAATAAATGAAAAATAATTGAACTTTCAATGTACATGTAAATGACTGATTATTCTTTACATTATTAATGACACAAACAGCCCCAGGTTAGACTTTAGTATCAAGTTTATTCCTTGAAGGGGAAAATCATTCTCACTGTTTCTGTACCCTTGTCCTGTTTAAAGCAAACCCATAATTGAAAAGTGGTCACTCATGAGCCGAAGCTTCTTCAGTACATCTATAATATAATAATATCCAGTTAGGAACTTTCACTTTAGGCAGGAACATGCATTGGTAAAAAATAGCACATTTCCGGGGCCTCAATGAAGTACATATGCTAGAAAAACTTGGCATGAGTCATGGTACATTTAAGAAATTACAACATAATATGAATGAATGCAAATATAACAGACACATTTTCAGATACAGAAACAATGAAGTTAATAACGAGTTAAAAAATTCAAACCAGATATTTACTGTAAAATTTTCATTGGAATAATCAAAAATTTTTAGCAAGTCAGTACAGATCGCTCAAGGTTAGCTTCTTAGCTATTTTTTCAATCAAAATGTGTAGAATGATACACTAAGAACTGATTCATAGATATAATTGGAATTGGAATAACAGTTTCTTTCTTTTGCTTTGTTTTGGTTCTGTTCTCTAAGACAAAATTTGCAAGTGCACCTGTAATGTCTAGTTGTAAAAATATATCACTTGCTTGCAACGTGTTGCCTACACGTACCTTCTTGTTCCTAGATGAATGAATGGTGCACCACAATATACAAGCAGCGCCCTCTTCCACTATAGGACTGGACAGCATTGACTGGCCTGTGATCAAACAGGTCACACCATTCAACAGCAGCTTGTGCTTCCTCTCTGCCCACCTGTACTGCAAATGCTTCAACATGTCTGTTGAAGTACAAGGTCTGATACAGCCGAAGGAGCAGATACAACTTTTCTTGCACCACTACAATATGCTGAACACGTCCAAACGTGGGTCCATCATCATCAGTCCAATATAGAAGTACATCAACACCTGCCCGGAACTCATATCCATGAATGTCCACTTTCCCAGCAACTGTAACTTCGGTTCCCCTTCCACAGTTAATTTTTTTGCAAAGTGCCTCATCATCAAGTAGATCACCAAGCATTGCTGCAGCTTGCTGTGACACATTGATATCTTGGCTATCCAGTGACTGATTTGATACTGACCTGTAGCACCGTGCCATTTGGTATCTGTTAGCCAATGTTTTGACAATGTTTTGGTAGTTGCAAGATACACTGGCAATCTGCTTGAAAGGTCTGTGCATTGCTTCAAAACGCAATGCTGAATACTGGGTCAGTGGCCCAAGGTGTTTCAGTGCACGTGGGTAATGCACAAGAAAGTGCTGCTTCGGAGTTAGACTAGCTTCAGGGAAGAGCTGCATGAAGAGCCTGTGGTGATCATCAATCATTGCCTTCAGGACATAGATGGCAGACTTACTGATACTGGGACTCATAATGATTTTGAAGATGTCAATGATTGACAGTAAGAGTTCCCACTCATCACACATCTCATCAATCTTGTCTCCTATCATGAGAGGGATGTTGTATGCAAGGCACGTCATCTGTGCTGATGTCTGTCCACTGGCAGAATATGGATTCTTCAGTGATGCCTGCCTGATTGGGCTTGGTCTGTTTTTGCGGTCCACAAAGCCAAAATTGAATGAGGATATTCTACTGTTCACCTCATCCAGTGTTATGAAACCCTTCTGAACAAGTTTACTCAAAACAAGGTGCATTTCCAGGGGCAAGACTCCCTCTGTAAAATCATGCATTACATCTGGACATAAGTTTTGGGTGGAATGGTAGTAAGGCAATTCATTCAAAACTGTTGCATGCTTCAAGCCAGATTCTGACAAGGGCTTTTGAAGATCTGTATCATAGTTTATTTCATCACGGAGATATTGGGCATCCTCTTTTGGCTGTTTCTGAAGCAACGAGCGATGCCCTCTACAGAATCTACAGTAATAGTTGGCACGGAAACAGGTTGTACATCCCAGCATGGCATGAATGCCAAGATTGTCCCCTACAACTTGGAATAAGTAGGGTTTGACCCTACCCTCAAACTCTTTGCACTTGATAGTGAGTCCATCAGTCCACATCTGCTGCAGATCATCCTTGATTACCTTCAAAACTTCTGAGATGCCATATTTACTCAAAAGCGGAGATGTGATCATAGCTGTGAGCATGATATTTTCCAGCCTAGCCTGGTATTTCCTGGGAAGGGATAACACACTTGTATAAAAGGCACTTACCTTGTGTTTGCCGCGTTTTGACCCAAGCGGATTGGCTGTCTCAAACTCATCATTGTACAACAACAGAGGCACTAAGAATTCACAGTCTTGTCTAGCAGTAGCTTCCTGCCTTTTATAATAGTGACCATCTTTGAATGAATACAAAACATCATTATCTTTTGATCCTTTTTGAGACAGTATGGCGTTCATTACTCCTGGTCGCTCTAAGTATTGTTTAATAGTGTCAGCTAGTGGTATATATTGAAAGGTTTCTTTTTGTGTGCTTTGCAGTGGATCACCTGTCTTTTGATCAATTTTTGGTTTTAAGCAAGTTCCCAACAACACCTCACAAGGCTGAATGAAATCACCTTTCTCAGAGAAATATTTTTTCTGTTGAGTATCTGACATGAGCTCTGAAAATGGATTCTTTGAATTCTCGAATACATCTTGTATATCAGATCTCAGCTCACTGTTAGCTGCATATTGTGGCTCACTTAAGATATCCATCACATCCTGTTGCACAGTTTGTAACACAGAAATAACCAAATCTTGTGCGGTTTGAATGACCTTGTTGGTGTGTGAAGCAGGCACATTAGTCCTTGCCCTGAGTTCTGCTACAAACTTTGCTGCAATATCAGGTAGTCTCTCTGTTTGCGTTTCAAAAGAGACATCTTCCTGCTCACTGCTTTCTCCAACAAACAATGCCTTTTCCTGGTGCAGTTGTTCCAAATTCCCTTCAGTGTTGTTATTCTTTCCTACATGTAGAACAGATCCTTCATAACAGGTTTCACTTTGGTGATCTGGAACTGCTTTTGTAGTTGTGCTTGACGTCTTTATCCGTGCAGCGTGCTTTGAAATGAGATGTTTTCTATATCCTGATAATGTACGAAATGTTAGTCTACATGCCCCTTGCATGCATGTTATACTTACATTTTTTCCCCTGGTTGTTGTATGTGTGTATTTTAAATGATGGAATAGGCAAGAAATATCCCCCCTAATTAAATCAAGACACTGAAAGCATCTGTAACTATCCATAGTGAGATATTGTGCCACACTATTGTCCTACCTCTGCACGCCACCCAGCGAGAAACTTCAATCGAGGTCCAATCTTGGGTATGAAGGATGTGATTATACTTTCACTTAGAAGGGGAAGGGTTTCCACATCAACTTCATTTTCTGGAGAAGAAGAGGGAGAGATTGATAAATAAGGCTTAGTGCAGCATAAACTGATTGTTTTCATATAATACCACAAACACACGTATGGTTGCGCAAATTAAACAAAAGTATATGTTTTAGATAATGATAAGCTGTAAACATTTGCTCATGTTCCAGCTAAAATATCTTCCATTTTGAATAAATCGCATAATCAATGTTTTCTTATTCCACAAGGGTCTATGAAAATCTGAATTTTCAAATGCGATTTTCTCGAAAATTTGGTCTTCGTATAGAAAACTTACTTTTAGATCATACTAGCGAATTGTATCAACCAATTGCTATTTATTTTCAGGTGATGTTACTAACATCCACACAATCAAATTAAGAATGGAAACCTTTTCTAAAGTCATACTAGTAATCACATTAGTTTAGTCAAATTGTGCCTAATTTTTAACAATGTTGGGGCCTATTTAAAGTATAAAGATTAGTTGCATCAGCAATGAATTTGATTTCAAAGAAAGTCATTCAACTTACCAAATGAATCAGAATGATTTGAGAGTTAGCATAGAGGTCAATGTATGCTGATTGGTTAATTAACATTACTAATTCATTGATAATCATATGTGTCTTCTCCATGTGCACTGTCATGCCTATTACTTCAACTTTAAACTGCCATACCGGTAATTGTTTTTTTCAACCTTTTGCGGCTGCCATGATATTGTCTGCATTAGTAGCCATGTTTCTCAGCTTTAGTATGACAAATAACCTAGCTTTATCTGACCAGGGTTTCTCAAAAAGTCTAGCACTCAAGCCTTTCACAGGCCACTTACAGTACCATACAACCATATATAAATTATAGTGTGTTACCTTGAATAGAGGCAACTGACAATTGTTTATCCTAGAAAAGATAATTTGTGGTGTTTAATAATTCTTTTGTACAGCTTATTGTTCAGTGGTGTGAAACATTAAAAAAAATGCATGTGCTGGAACATTTCACTGATATGAAGCAAAATAGGACAGTTAATCCTGTACTAACGAATGTCCTTCCTCCATGTGCACCTCCATCCCAAAATCGAATCAGTTCGTTGGCTTTGCAACTTGCAAGATACATGTACATGTCCCAAGTTTGGATTGTAATCCGTCCATCGGTTCTAATGATTTCATTGAAATCTGGACATGTAGTAAAATAGTGTACAATTTTGTCGGCATAATTTGGTGGCTTAAGCATCTGTAATTTTTCCATATTTAAAAATTATTTTCAGAAAAAGATTTTTTTAAATGAGAAAAAATGTACCCATGTTAAAAATTGTGCCCATTCGTGTACTACAGCGAGGTCACTGCAATTTCGAAAACCACCACAGCCTCTTGGTTTTGAATTAGGCTATTAATATGGGCTAAAATGTGGGTCAACTGCCTTTTAGTTGTGACAAGGAATATCGCAATAGCACATAATTAATAGCCCCATTTAAAACCAAGAGGATGTAGAGTCTATGCTCTGTAAAACAAAGTTAGGCAGATGTTACTGGGCAAATCAAAGTTTGGCGCGTTTTTGTCAAATAATTTCTCCCAACCATTTACTGTATGAAGTTACCTAATAAAAGGTCAGAAATAAGTTGGGTAGGTGTTACTTGGTAAAACTGATGTTGGGCAAATTTTGTCCAACAATTGGGTTATTTTCTACCAACCATGTAGTTACCGATGAAATAATTGGGTAATATTTTTGGGCAAATTAAAGTTGGTCATTTTTGTCCAATAATTGGGTTATTTTCTACCAACCATGTAGTTACTGATGAAATAATTTGCCCAACTAGTGTCGAATATACTACACATTATGGTGAGAATTGGGTGAATTTCCTATTGGGGTAAATTTTGTTGGTTAAAAGTTGAGTATTTTCTTTTCATCCAACACTGGGTAAATCATGCAAAATCTTTAATTTACCCAATAGTTAGTCGGACACATAAGTGCCCTCATGTTGGGTAAAAATTGGGCACTTGCCCAACATTTTTTTAGAGTGTTTGGATTTCAAAGTCCTGTAGAAAATGAAAGGGCAAAATCCTTAACATGGCAATGGGCAAGACAAATTGTCTCACTTTTTGAAATCTAGACTTCTAGATCTACAGGAAAATGAAAGATCATAAGATGATCTTCCACAAAATAATGTTCATAAAATTGTACATTATTTGACAACTTCAATTTTCTGATGAATCATTCAGTTCAGTGTTGATTATTAAATATAAGTAGGCCTAGATCTAGATCTAGACCTAGACTAGATCTAGTATAGTAATACCAATTTCAGATAACAGAGATAATTGTTCAAAATTACACCAGTCCCACGTACTGTAATACTATCTGGGTACACACCTACAAATGTGGTCCAATGTATTGGACCCACAGAACTCTTAAATACGTATTTAAGAGTTCTGTGATTGGACCCCATACAACCCATGATCCATAGAAAATGGAGGGTATTGTGTTATGTATGTATTGTAGCAGGAAACAGCACAGAAATCCGGGTTTTGGCCTGGCTTTGGGTTTTGTAAAATCTTGAACAAAATATTTTTAAATATTCATTTGTGATCTAAAATTCATGGAAACAGTACAATTTGAATTTGATATCTATATCAATCAAATATTAGTTTGGATTAGTAACACATGCATTAAAAGAGCAAATTTGAGGCAAAGTTTAATAGACCAATTGAATTGAAGCGTATTCATTAACCATTGCTGAGGCATATAGAACTAGTCTACATGTTGCCCATGTGTTATGGATATGGGAACAAGTCTACAGCAAGTACCCGTTGATCATGTTCTAAACTTCTAATCTCAATAAGATGTGAACGTACCTTCTAGTATCTTTAACACTGACGGACATCCCCACCTTTGAACGATTTTGGTGAGAGGGTCTATGAACCCATCTTCACTTGAACTATCTCCGCAGCAGTTGTCGAGCTCCATTTTTAGACCCTCAGGCTCTAGCATGCAAGACTCCGATATGATGCGTAATGTACGTACGACGTACGTACAGGCTGCTAGTTACGTTGGTGTATCATATAGCTCGAGCTCCCGGGCCGGGACGGCCGCGCCGGCTAGTATACCGAGTAAATAGAAATAGTACTGCGCATGGCATGCTGATCGCGAGAGACCAGGCCATGTGCGCGCTACCCCAAGACCAATACCAGGCAAACTTTACCCAAGTCTGGTTAAACGTAAGTCTAGTCCCCATTGAAGGTTTCCACTGCCATTTACGCATGCGCGTAATTGACGATGATAGTGTGTACGTTCCATGATCATTACTTACGTAGATTATGTAACTCTATAGGCCTACATGGTTAAGATGGCTCAGTTTTCACAAAAGATAAATCTTGGACTCTTTCAGCATCAAACTCGCACAAATTCATCGTCGCTTCAACACTCTGTTATTATAATTTTAAAATAGAAGTAAATGGTTACAATTACAGGAGAGATAATTTCAATTTTTCATAGCAATATTTACACAGCATATTGTGAGCTAAAGAAAATTGAGCTAAATATATTTGGTAAAAGTCGGTGGTCAATTACTACCCTATATAAGCAAACAAAAAAAGGCGCAAAGTGAAATTGGGTAACAGGCGTTGGTCAAATCAGTACCCAATGTATGAGCAAACAAAAATTGAGCAAAGTAAAATTCGGTAAGTGGTGATGGGTAATTATTACTCAGCATATGAGCAAACAAAAATATGGGCAAAATAAATTGGGTAAGGGGCGGTGGTCAATTATTACCCAATTATGAGCAAACAAAAATTGAGCAAAGTAAAATTCGGTAAGTGGTGATGGGTAATTATTACTCAGCATATGAGCAAACAAAAATATGGGCAAAATAAATTGGGTAAGGGGCGGTGGTCAATTATTACCCAATTATGAGCAAACAAAAATTTGAGCAAAGTAAAATCGGGTAAGTGGTGATGGGTAAATATTACTCAGCATATGAGCAAACAAAAATATGGGCAAAATAAATTGGGTAAGAGGCGGTGGTCATTTATTACCCAATATATGAGCAAACAAAAATTTGAGCAAAGTAAAATTGGGTAAGTGGTGATGGGTAAATATTACTCAGCATATGAGCAAACACAAATTTGAGCAAAGTAAAATTGGGTAAGAGGCGGTGGTCAATTATTACCCAATTATGCGCAAACACAATTTGAGCAAAGTAAAATTGGGTAAGTGGTGATGGGTAATTATTACTCAGCATATGAGCAAACAAAAATTTGGGCAAAGTAAAATTGGGTAAGAGGCGGTGGTCATTTATTACCCAATATATGAGCAAACAAAAATTTGAGCAAAGTGAAATTGGGTAAGAGGCGGTGGTCATTTATTACCCAATATATGAGCAAACAAAAATTTGAGCAAAGTAAAATTGGGTAAGTGGTGATGGGTAATTATTACTCAGCATAAGAGCAAACAAAAATTTGGGCAAAGTAAAATTGGGTAAGAGGCGGTGGTCATTTATTACCCAATATATGAGCAAACAAAAATTTGAGCAAAGTGAAATTGGGTAAGAGGCGGTGGTCATTTATTACCCAATATATGAGCAAACAAAAATTTGAGCAAAGTAAAATTGGGTAAGTGGTGATGGGTAATTATTACTCAGCATAATTATGAGCAAACAAAAATTTGAGCAAAGTAAAATTGGGTAAGAGGCGGTGGTCAATTATTACCAAATATATGAGCAAACAAAAATTTGAGCAAAGTGAAATTGGGTAAGAGGCGGTGGTCATTTATTACCCAATATATGAGCAAACAAAAATTTGAGCAAAGTCAAATTGGGTAAGTGGTGATGAGTAATATTCCTCAGCATCTAACAATTACCCAACTACTTGGTAAATTGCTCTCAACTCCTTGGAACGATGTTGTTGCTAAATGTAT